GCGACATTCACCTATACCAATTCCGAGGAAGCTGTTTTCTTTTTTTCCCTTTATATATTTAAAGCCCTCCAATAGAATCTGTTTCTTGTAAATATCACTGATCTTGTCAATATTGGATTTGATTTGATTTGATTTGATTATTAAAAATTATTATTTACTTGAGTAATAATTATTTTGTGCGATTAAAACAAATTTTATCAATGCAACTTAATATTTTACTTGACTAAAAATTAATTTTGTGATTAAAACAAATATTAAATTTTCAGAACAACTTATTATTAAAACAAATTTTATCAAATTATTTATTATTAAAAATTATTATATACTTGAGTAATAGTTAATTTTGTGATTAAAACAAATTTTATCAATGCAACTTAATATTTTAAAATTTACTTGACTAAAAATTAATTTTGTGATTAGTGCCACCCAATTTCATTTAGGAAATTCATTAAAAAATTAATTATGTGATTAGTGACACCGAAATCACTACTATTATTATATTTTTAAGTATTATAAAATAGAAGGAAAAGCTTCATTTTGAAAGTAGAGACGAGTAAAATCGTCATTAAGCCAGATCATACTGGAGATACACTCGACCCCTTTTACCTCCTCATTTCTTGAGCTTAAATTAATCTCCAAAATTTAAAAGCATCAATCTCTCTAATAAGCAAACTTCCCTGCAAAATTTCAGAAATTTTCGACAAAAAGCACAGTAGTTATTAAGCTTCAAACAGAGTGAACAAAATGGTGTCAACCCCTCACACACACTAATATCCATACATACGCTAGCGAAATGCTTATGGGCCGCACTCGTTTGTTCAGCCCAAAAAACATGAAAAGGAAAGAACAGTTAAAGTCATAGGAAAGGTTTAGATTGAAGGTGAACGAAAGCGAGATAGGACAGAATTAAAGTGAAGATTCTTTATAAGACCCCAAGTGCTCGCATCGCCTTTATTCAACCAAAGAAAGAGAATAATTACAAAGAAAACGTATGTACAAAATTTCAATACAGTATTTACACTGAAGGGTATCTATACATACAGAAAAACACCCGAATTTTTTTTTGTATTTCTCCGTGTTTCAATATGTCCTGAGTTCAAAACCGTAAAAATGTTGAAGATAATTTTTCGGCTGATCGCCATACTTTCCTTGTTATATATACAGGGTGATTCAAAATTCACAGAAATTTTGAAAAATTAATAACACAAACTATTTACAGTAAGATGATGCAGTTTTCACAGAAATGCTTCGAAATAAGTAAGATTTTTTTATGTGAAATAAAAATTTTAGTACCAAACTAGTTACGTTTCTTCTCATAGATGGCGCTTGATAAGATTACATAATTTTTGTAGTTGTTACTAGAGCTCACACTAAGAACATTTTTATTTTTTTTATTCTTATTCTAACACATTTACAAATGCTTTGAGTTTCCTACAGCACCATCTATGGCAAGAAATGTAACTATTTTGTTACTACAATTTTTATTACACCTAAAAAATCCCGCTTCTTTCGAAGCATTTCTGTGAAAACTGCAACATCTTACTGTAAATAATTTGTGAGTTATTGATTTTCAAAAATTTTTGTGACTTTTGAATCAAGCTGTATAACAGCTGGGAAAGTAAAAATTAAAATTTATAGTGTATATTGTAACAAGAATTATGTGAATTTTGTTTTAATAATAAATTAAAAGAAAAGTAACTTACTGTACACTCCTCATCGAAGATTTTTTCCACTTTCTAGAAATAAATTCCAAATTAATTATTAAAATTANGAAAAAAATTGATAACATTGAGTTTAAACAGTTATTAAATAATAATGATATAATTGGTCTTACAAAAACTTGGTTAACTTCGCCAGATAAAGGGTTTAAAGATAAATATTTGGAATATACTGTGTTATCAACTATGGCACATAGGCCAATAGGACCCGGTCGTCCATATGGTGGATTAAGTATATTTATCAAGAAAAATATAGGCATAATTAAGAATATACACAAAAATGATAACAATATATCAATTATAATCCAAATTACCAACCCACATATACAATTCTTGTTAAACAGACTAGTAGGCTTTATATTGGTTTATATCCCTCCTGATCAACTGCAGATTCTAAATGATATTTATAAACACATCGAACAATGGAAAATCATTACCCCATATATTGTTATATTAGGTGATTGGAATGCGAGAATAGCCCAAATAATGGATGTGAAATATAAAGGACCAAATTCAGAAATTCAGAATAATCGTAAATCCAAAGATAAAAAATATAACAAAATAGGACTTCAATTATTAGAATATATTAATCAATTACAATTATATATACTGAATGGTAGAATAAAAAATGATTACCCGGCGGAATTTACTTGTCTTACTAATTCTGGCTGTTCTACAATTGATCTAATAATATGTTCAGAATTAATTACAGACTTATGCAAATGTTTCAAGTATTAAACTACGATCTCTCCGACTATTTTCCTATAAAAATGTCCATTCAAATAGCAAATAATCAACTATATAAATCTGAATCAATATCACATCAAATAATCAAATATAACTATCAACAATATCAACTAATGATTAGTAATAGAATTGGACATCTAATGAATTATATTCCAACGGAAGGAATGGACAAATATTTTCGTTTTGAACTAATATTAAAAGAATTTATACAAATAAGTAACTCAAAGTATAATATAACGTATAAATTTAAAAAGCCATGGTTTGATTTAAATTGCTATAAACTTAAAATTCAGAAGAATAAAGCTCTAAAACGATTCAGAAACTGCTACTCAGACATTACTTTTAACCGTTATAAACAGCTAAAAACTTCTTATTTCAACTTACTGAAAGTTAAAAAATTAAACTATTTTAAAAAACTTCAACAACAAATGATAGCAAACAAAAACAATCAACTTTTTTGGTCATCAATTCAGAAACTACGAAAATCTTGTCTAGAATGTCAACCGAATATAGACATTTCAATATGGTCTAGTTATTTTAATAGATTTCCGCTTATTGAAAATCCACTAAATAATCATCAACCAACCTTAACAAATGACTTTTTTGATGCACCTCTTACCTATGAAGAATTGGAATACTCCATTGGAAAATTAAAAATAAAATCATCGCAAGGTCCAGACTTAATTACTAATAAATTCATCAAACTTTTACCTCCATCAGGAAAACATATACTTCTTGAAATATATAATTATTTTTATGATCAATTAATATACCCGTCATCTTGGAATACTGTAAAACTACTTATGATCTATAAAAAAGGAAATAGATTATTACCAGAAAACTATCGTCCTATCGCTCTTCTATCAACTATAAGGAAATGTTTCACATCAATATTGGCATTACGATTTCAAAAATGGACGACAAATCAAAAACTAAATTCGAATTTACAGTTTGCTTTTATAAAATCCAAAGGAACTGAATCGGCCATATTCTTATTAAACTCACTAATTCAAATATACTTAAAGAAAAAACGAAGAAAAATTTATGCTGCATTCATTGACATTACTAAAGCATTTGACTCTATTCACGTACCCTCTTTGGTTAACAAATTAAATGCATTTGGTGCAGGTACCAAATTTACAACTACAATTAAAGAACTATTTTCCTCATACAAAATCAATATAATATACGGAAAACAGAGATATCCTGAAATTATAATAAATCGAGGAATTTTACAAGGTGAGCCATTGTCTCCCTATCTATTTAATTTCTATATTAATGAAATAGATAAGTTATTCTTATATGATTCAGAAGGCATTATTATATATGGAAGAACATTTCACTACATTCTATACGCAGATGATTTGGTTTTATTGGCCCCAACAAAAGTTACTCTACAGCATAAGATTAATAAAGTTAACGACTATCTGAAATCTATTTATTTAACGATCAATACTGATAAATCAAAAATAATAATATTCAGAAACAATATTAAACTGGCAAATCAAGAGAAATCATTTTATATAAATAATCAACCGTTGGAATTGGTCAATAACATAAAATATTTGGGTATAATGTTCAACTGGAATGGTAAATTCCAAACACATATGAAATATCTTAATAATAAAATAAATCAATTAATAAATAATACTCTCTATTTAGGAGCTAGTTTAAAAATCTCAAACTTAAATCTTCATATGAGAATGTTTAACTCAATAATAATGTCAACTATTCTATATGC